TTAGCTCAACCACTTTCTTTATTATGTTTAACGTGATTTTGCCTGATATGTAGTTTAATAATTATAGAATGTAAATCAAGAGAGAGAGATAACAGGGAAGGTAACCATGGGAAAGGTATGTGGTTCTCGTTACTACTGTACTGTACACGTTCGGTATATGTGGTGGCGGTGCGGTACTTGTTGCAATAGTTTAATATAATATTTAATTATTATTTCATCACTTATCAGCTTACTAGCCGTTCGAGCGGTTGGTCTGTTCTTTGCTAAGACCTTTATCGTTCAGTGTTGCTACAGGAGGAAATCGGAGTACTCAGAGAAAACCTGTCTTGTTTGGTACGGACCCGCTGGATAACACACTTCCCAAGCTGGGGATTGAACCCAGGACAAGAGCGAGAGATACTCTTGTTACCGCTGCATTACAAACATTTCCACGCGATTTAAGGTTCAGTAATTAGTTTTGGAAACACGAAGATAAATAAGACTTTACTAATTCAAGTTCCACCTGAAGTTTGTGTTACACTTTGAGCTCAAGTTTAATATTTGGGTTATTAGCAATTCCACCATGATGGTTTAATATATTATAGATGTAGATGATGCAAATTTAGTGCATTATCCGGTGTATAATTATATACCACACAGAAACAATTTAATTACCAAATCTGTTAATAATCTAATAAGTTATCTATTTTTTATACTATTTCATGTGGTTATCAGCATATATATATATATATATATATATATATATATATATATATATATATATATATATATATATATATATATATACACATATATATATATATTTTTTTTTAATGTTGTTGTTTGTGTTATTCAGCGCGTGGCAAGAACCGGTTTGAGTGACTAGTCTGCTTGCCGAAGGCCACCCAAGAATGTTGATAAGGCGTCATGTATACTGCGAATTGTGCTGACACCGGCCAACTTCCTCACTATGTTCCTTCCTCCATCACATACATAGATATACCGATAGAAAAAAGGAAAAGGTAGAAGAATTAACAGGAGAAGAAGGAGGAGGATGAGGAAGAGGAGGAGAGGAGAGTGTAGGTGACCCCTGGTATACAGCTATCGGGTGCACGTGGGGCCAGGGTGAACAACTAGCATTAGGTGTGCTGCTCCTCTCCTGCCCACGTTCCCTCGTTCCCAAACTTACTACGTTCCTCGCCCCCAAGACGAGATGTGAGGACTTACCAAAGATGCTCATTTAAAATTATGCCACAAACAAAATATCTACAATGGCGTGACATTTCCAACAGACTTTACCGTAATGAATTTTCTCATCCCCCTAATCCTTTCACTAACTAACGTCTTTAAAGTGTTTCAACTATTCTTGAACGGATTAAATCTTTGTCCTTATGGGGTTAGACCTAAATTTTTAAAGTGCCAAACCAAAGCCTTCAAGGGGTTTAACCACTATTTTCAAAGGGTTAAAACATCGCCCTCTAAATATCATACCATAGATCTCAAAGGGTTGAACCTTCGTCCTCACAGGGTTAAAACAGTCCTTAGAAGGTTAAACCATCGTTCTCAATGGTTAATGAACTCTTTTTTTGTAATTCAAGACTAAGAACGAGAGGATATAAACCTCAGACAAGAAATGGGCTTTCCACACTTCTAGCTACAACTCATCACAGCTGAAGCATCATCTCACATATCGTACTTCTATACAAACAGTAAGAAGAGTAACCATAGTAGGTAACTGAGAAAGAGAGAGAGAGAGAGAGAGAGAGAGAGAGAGAGAGAGAGAGAGAGAGAGAGAGAGAGAGAGAGAGAGAGGCCTAGCTATTACCTTCATACAGTTTGTGGACTTTCAAAACGTTGTGTAAACTATAATACTGTATACAAATCACAATGTCGAGGTACAGTAAAGCACAGCACTAAAATATCCCGTCTCCATAATTTCCGAGGATGTTATAGTTTTAAAGAATAATCATTAACCGCCACAAAGCTACACAAGACTAGCGATCAAGGTTCCAGTTGGTGGTTTTGGGGCGAGTTACCAGCGTTCATTTGAATAATTTCAAAGACTCGGTTAATCACTGCTAATGTTGGGATAGTCACGATAAATATTTGATGGATGTTTTTAAGATTTTATACACAATGAAAGTGAGGGATTAAAAGACAAGCACTCGGTACCACAGCGACACTACAGTAGTCAGGATGAACACTGAGGTTTCGATGTGACTTGTGCTCTCGGCAAGGAAACACCAGATAAGTGTTATCTGAGATAGTTTTATCACCTTCCAGATAGCACTTAAATACGTCGCATTTAATTCCATCTCAGGGTCAGCGAGCGAGGGTCAGGCAGCCTTCACGCGGCCCATTGATGGTCGTCGGAAATGTTCAATCAATGACAGCAGATAGGAAAGGGACGAAGTTGTTTCATATACTCGGCGAGACATATTGTGTCCTGTGCGTTGGGCTATTATATTATTATTATTATTATTATTATTATTATTATTATTATTATTATTATTAGAGCACATCTCGCTGAATAAGCCTTGAGCTACAAACCATCAACAAAAGTCTTCGAAAAGGCATAGAACGTAATTATAGAACATGGTAAATAAAAAAATAAATAAAAAAGACAGGTTTCAAAAACATTACGGCAAACTTGGATGGATGAATGGAAATGAAAGTTGTTGTCCCCAGAGAGCATCTGAGAGGATAACAATAAAGATAACCACAATATGTTTATACTATTTACTAATAAAATGTCTATCACCGAGGGCACTTAGATACTGTTTTATCGTGACAAAAATAAATAATAACTCGGTGACCGTATGATATTTTCCCCATGTGTGTCTGGTTCGAGGATCAGCCAATGGGACACGCCGGAACATAACAATGACACTGAGATTATTTCACGTTATCAGGACATGACTCGCAACACCTCATCAGCAAGGATGCAATAACGAGTGACTATTATACGGTTGACCTGGATATTTATCTTTCGTATTTTTATTTAGTGATGACTTATGAATGTTGTACTAACGGTAACTAACCTATTATAGAAGTTGTTGAAGCGCAGTGATAAATAATTACTGTACATCAACACTAGGGTCAAGTTATCATGACTCAGTTAGAGACCACGTCATGGTCTCTAACTGGGTCACCTGAAGATTAGGCCACCTCCAGCTTACTTCACTGGACGATTAAATACCAAACTTAACCCCAGATCACGGTGAAAATAACCTAGGGTGTCTAATCTTCATGTGATCCTTTCAACTCGCTACGAGAAAATTCCAATGAAAATGACAATTGGTTTTCGAAATTAAAACATACAATAAACAAAAAACAAACTAGCACTGAGGACAAAGGTTAGGCACAAGGCTTCCCACCACCAAAGGCAGGATAGAGCAACCTCCCACTATCAGCCCAGGGTAAACACGACTTGGAACGGCTGGCCACTAACACTGCTGAAATTTACACAACACACACACACCTGTTTAGAGATGTCAAGTCATACATCAAGATTATAAAAAAATAAATATTCGTATTGAAGATGTAAGAACGCGTCTGATTGGTCGACCTGAGTGCATGATAACAAAATGGCGCCAAAATGACCCTGAGACTATAATAATTAGATAATGACTTCTTAACATAATTTTTGGGGGACGAAGTTATTGTAAAGAATATTTTTCCCAAGATAACTTTAGAGGTTAGCATAGTTTAAATTCTTCACAGAATCTAATTGCACGATAGCTCTGTTGTACATCAGTTAAATACAAAAACGCTGCCTTGTAGAAACGTTCACTGTCTTGTACACACGTTCATGTTTTTCAATATCTATTAATTTTTTTTTGCATGTGTCATTTTCCACTTGAATTAAAATGTTCACTTGTGACGAACCCTAAAGTGGTTTTATAACTTGAATGCCACGCTATACATGTTATTGTTGAACACTTCCTAACCCATGTTCACTAATGTCACTATAAACGTTCACGGGAGTTAAAGAATGGTTCCCGTAGTAGTAGTAGTAGTAGTATATCCTTATTAGTCGTTCAAATAACACATAACGCCCCTAGGCAGCGCGAGCAAAGATGAGTGATCCACATTAATGCGTACATACATAAGCATGTACATACATACATACATACATACACACACACACACACACACACATACACACACACACACACACACACACACACACACACACACACACACACACACACACACACACACACACACATACACGGAAATCGATCCAGTCGTCAGCAGCCTCCCATCCTACAAAAATGCCACCACAAAGACAGAATTACAGAAATGTTGGCATACTTAAGACCCAGTATGGAAAGGAGGGAGATAGGTGAATATTGAGGAGATAGGCGTATTGAGGAGATAGGGTGCGCATGGAGGAAGATAGGGTGTGAGAATTGAGGGATAGGGTGCGTATTGGAGGAGGAGATAGGGTAAAGGGGAATAGGAAAGAGAGTGAGGTGCGTATTGAGGGAGATAGGGTGCGTATTGAGGGAGATAGGGTGCGTATTGAGGGAGATAGGTGTGAGAATTGAGGGAGATAGGGTGCGTATTGAGGGAGATAGGGTGCGTATTGAGAGAGATAGGGTGAGTATTGAGGGAGATAGGGTGCGTATTGAGGGAGGTAGGGTGCGTATTGAGGGGAAGTAGGGTGGGCTATGTTGGAAATAGACACCTAATTCCGTTAATTGTGCAGAGAACATAATAGTAACTCATCTTGTCGTCAACTGTGTTCTAATAATATTTGTAATTATCTCTAACAATAATTAATAAAGTTAACCCCTTCACTACGGCGACGCTATTTTAATTATTTTATTTAGCTAATGTCCGACGATTACTGATGGTGGTGAGGAAGGTGAGAAAATGGCCGGGAAGCCCTCTAATGCCTCGTGTGTGTGTGTGTGTGTGTGTGTGTGTGTGTGTGTGTGTGTGTGTGTGTGTGTGTGGTAAAAGGTACAGTACTTACTTCAGCTGAGCCACCACCACCACTCATCAGCACTTACCTTTCTCTCCATATTTCTGCAAAAGACAAAAGACAAACTAATTAATAACATGACCTTAAATCACTATCAACCAAACTAACAACTGATTGTTTATATAATACAAATTCCTCACAAAGACTAAAACTAGTCACCTGAATTCTTATACACATATAACTATCAGAAAAATAAAATGGTTAATACTGTATAAATCAGCATAAACAAAAATCATTCAAGTTCTCTAGTTATTCGTTAAATTGTATAGTGGTTATATACCTCCGATGGTCAGGTAAATAACACAAACACAATGTTATTCCTGCTTCAACAACTACAAAGTCTTTCAGGGTGTAATACTGAACATTACCTTCGCTGCACGTCGGTATTACTCTTATAAATAGTACTATGCTATTAACAACTAGCCATATACTGCAAATAAAATAATAGTAATAAAAGATAATGTTAAACCCAAAGTCTTTTAAAACGATATAAAATTTTTTTTTTTTTTTTTCACTGGTTAATATAATAGTGGCTTGTTATCTTGTTTAGACAGCACATACGAGAGGGTGGGAAGGGGAGGATGGGGAGGGGAGTGAAGGATGGGAAGGGGGGCTGGAAGGATGGGGAGGGGGGAGGAGGGGGATGGGAGGATGTGGGAGGGGAGGTGAAGATGGGAAGGGGGGGGACAATGATGGGGAGGGGGAGGATGGGAGGGGAGGATGGGGGGAGGGGAGGAAGGATGGGAAGGGGGCTGAAGGATGGGAGGGGAGGATGGGGGAGGGGAGCAAGATGGGGAGGGGGGGCTGGGAAGGATGGGAGGGGAGGATGGGAGGGGAGTGCGAAGGATGGGGAGGGGGGCTGAAGGACGGAAGGGGCTGGAAGATAGCAGGGGAGAGGGTGATTTGAGGCCTTGTTGATAATCTGGTCTTCCCAGCTTAATATATATTAAGTAACTTTTTGTTATTTAATTTACCCACGTTTGTGTGTGTGTGTGTGTGTGTGTGTGTGTGTGTGTGTGTGTGGGAGAGAGAGAGAGAGAGAGAGAGAAGGGGGGGGACAGGACTATATGGTGCCCTAATGAACATACATGAGGCCAGTCAGGTGATATAGGAGAGGATAATGAGGCAACGTCCCCCTTACCACCACTCAATACTAACAATTTGTTTTCTCGATTGCAAGTTTATCTTCATAGTCATTAAAACAAAGACGATGAAGTGAATGATGATAGAAATAAATAACTTTCCATTAAAATTGACACCTATTTACAAAGTACAAAACACGCACACACACACACACACACACACACACACACACACACAACACACAACACACACACACACACACCTTAAATTGTCGTATAATACAAATCTAAACATTAAGACACCCCCACCAACCCCCCCAAAACCCCTCACCTTGGCACTTGCTACATTATGCCGGCAACGATCAATAAATGTGTCAGTAGCTAAGAGAGCGATGACCTCCCTATCTCTTCTATTGGTATGCCTTCTTGTACTTCTTCAGGCCCTCCCTCACCCCCTCCTCCAGGTAGGTACTGAGACATCATACTGAAAAAAAGATCCCGACGTTTGTGTGGATTTGTTTACGAAGTTGTGGGGTATTTTTTTATTCAATGATTGTGTTGTTGTTGTTGTTAGTATTGTTATTGTTTATGTTTTTATTATTTTTACTGTTTTTTATTATTATTATTGTTTATGTTTTTGTTATTTTTACTGTTTATTACTGATTATGTTTTTGCTCTTTTTATTGTTTTTTATGGTTATTATTTATGTTTTTGTTATTTTTACTGTTTTTTATTAGTAGTATTGTTTATATATTTTTTTATCATCGTCCAGGTGCTGCCAACTTAGCGCTAAGGTCAGCCAATCTAGCGAATTTCTGCCTGTGATTTTTAGCGATTAAGATGGTATAAGGGCATTTTAGCTATTTTTAAAGGATTTATTTGAATATGGGGAATTTGAGGATGTAGTGGTGAATATTAACGATTTTTACGACACTGATACTAAATTTAGCGATTTTTAAAGATGATTTTACGGAGTTTTGCTGTTTTAAAAATGATATGTCTGTATATAACACATTTTACAGGTTACCTTAGTGACTTTCTGCCGATATAAGTGAAGCATTAGCTAATTTTAAGGCATCTCAGCTATTCTTGTGAAGGTTAGCAAGTTCCAAGTTAACTTAGCGACTTTTGTGCCAATATTAATGAATCAGGCAAATTTTAGCGCTTACGTTAGCGACTTAAGCGTTTCTGAGAGTTGGCAACATTGATGAGACTTGCAGACGTGGGCTAAAAGTTCCTGCCGCCATCACAACAGAGAGAGAGAGAGAGAGAGAGAGAGAGAGAGAGAGAGAGAGAGAGAGAGAGAGAGAGCTGCCGTTATCTTTATATATACCACAAGTATTAAGTATTTCCTCTTGAAGTGGTGTGGTGGCGGAAATTTACAGCAGTACTGATAATAACGCCCACCATTACGCTGTTATTCACTCTCATTGTTCACTCTTCCATCATTCACTGTTCACTCTCCCATTATTACCCATCACCATCACCCAACACCACCCATTACTACCCATCACCATTCACCCAACACCACCCATTTACCCTACCCATCACCATCACCCAACACCACCCATTACTACCCATCACCATCACCCAACACCACCCATTACTACCCATCACCATCACCCATTACACAACACCACCCACACACCCACCACCCATTACTACCCATCACCATCACCCATTACACAACACCACCCATTACTACCCATCACCATCACCCATTACACAACACCACCCATTACTACCCATCACCCAACACGCAATATTCCCCCAAGGACCTATCTGGGATCTTCACATACATACATACATACATACATACATACATACATACATACATACATACATACATACCTTTACGACTCATGACACGTACAGAGACCAACACACACACGAACAATCAACAACATCCAGGTGAGGCAAGTGTGTGCGTGTGTGCGTGTGTGTGTGTGTGTGTGTGTGTGTGTGTGTGTGTGTGTGTGTGTTGTGGGAAGTCAGTTTAGTTCACTTTTCTCGCATACCTCAGCGTGTGAATGTTTTGTGACGTGGGTGTCATTCTTAACACCTGTTGACTCTGTTGCAGGTGAGATGAGGTGGGGTGAATAGGGGATTCAAAATTACTTTACATCAACAGCAAACAGCTTCCCCAAGGCTTGATCTGTACTTCCAAGTACTGCTTAATGAGGACACACACACACACACACACACACACACACACACACACACACACACACACGCCTTCATAAGCGGATCACTGTACATCATAATCCTAAATATGAATTGAAGATGTGATCCCGTGTGTCCAGGTTTGGCAAATGAGTTGTGTAACCATCTCGTCACTCCACCACTGCTGATTATGTGGGTTGAGTACATGCCATGCCACACACACACACACACACGATCGTCTTGACAGTCTCGTTATAGAAATGAGAATATTCCTACTGGGTTAAGAACTTGAGTATACGATGATTATACCCCTTGAGTATGATGATTAGCCTCTTGAGTACGATGATTATACCCCTTGAGTATGATGCATTAACCCTTTCAGTACCATGACTTAACCCCTTGAGTACGAAAACTTTACCCCCACCCCCCCGACGAGTACGATTACTTAACCTTTTGAATACTATGAGAAGACTTTGAAATACGATGACCTCTTTCCTGGGGTACGATGGCCACTGTACTCAACAAGTTCCAACCATCGTACACAAAGGTTTGTTTACAAGAGGGTGGGGAGGTAGTAGCGTGTTCGTGGCCTTGAGAACAACATTATAATGCCCACCAAGATCTCTCAGTTAACATTGGTAATTCCTCACAAGAATGACAAGTGACCAAGTGATAATTTCTCATATTTTTAAGTTTTATTACACGTTTTTTCCCACAATTATTACCTACTGTATACTAACTGTTAAATATATAAAAAAATAAAAACTGTAAATAATGAAAAATATTAAGAAAAAGAAATAAATGGCTTAGAAAAATAAAATACAAAAAATACAAAAAAACATCGTAAATAAACAATAAAATCAAGGAAATAAAGAAAAATAAACAACTAGAAATATATGTAGATAAAAATATCCTAACCACAATAAATGCAACTTCAGCTAATTCCCCATCACACTCTCAATGAAATCACAACGAGCAGTAATTAATATCAACTAGAACCACTGGCGTCTTACTGCTCAAGAGGATAAACAACACATCAGGTTAGGTTAGGATTAGAAGGGATGGTTTGGTCAAGGTAGTTTAGATTAGGTTAGTGGGGTTAGGTTAGGTTAGGTTAGGTTAGGTTGTGAAAGCGGATAGCCTTGGATCAAGGTAGTTTAGATTAGGATGAGAAGAAGTTAGGTTAGGTTAGGAAGGGATGGTTTGGTCAAGGTAGTTTAGATTAGGTTAAGATGAGGTTAGGTTAGGGTCCACAGGTCAGAGCCCCCCCCCCCCACCTTTCTAAGCCTGTCAGTACGGCGCCGCTGTCATGAATGAGGGAGAGTACAAGCGACAGGTCCTGCCACACTGACTATTCCTACTGCCAATCTGGTTACTCTCCCTCCCTGTTTCCTTCCTTCCTTCCCTCACTTTCCCCCTCCCTCCCTTCCTCCCTGTTTCCTTCCTTCCCTCACTTTCCCCCTCCCTCCCTTCCTCCCTGTTTCCTTGCTTCCCTTATTCTTTCCTCCCTCCCTCTTTCCCTTCTCCCATCACTTACCCACTAGCTCACGCAATCAGTCCCACCCTCACGTATTCCTTCCCTCCCTCCTAACCTAACCTACCCAAGCAGTCAACGCAAGCCTGTTACACTCTCACATACTTTACCTATTTACTGAAGTGTGACAAGAGAGTGTATTTCAGTCGTGGAGTGTGTGTGTGTGTGTGTGTGTGTGTGTGTGTGTGTGAGAGCCAGCCCCCCACACTACGCAATAGAGAGAGGAGCTACAAAGTGTTTAATTAAGCTCAAACACAACACGCCA